AAATAATCACCTTCCACTTGGTCTGGGTCTGGATATGTCGGTCGACAGAAAATAGTCGGCACTCTCGGGACTTTTTGATGAAGTCATTTAACCCCAAAGCATCAACCGTTCCAGGGTCATGTGACTTTCTGTTCTGCATGCGTCGCACTGTTGAAACAATTAAAAATATTTTGGGCAACACAATAAATCCCCCTTTGAGCCTGTGTGTTGGGACTTCCTGCGAGACCCACATGGGAACGGACTACAGAGTATTACCTTCAAAGACGGCACATCTTTACACCGTTGTTATTTCATTTGTCCTCAAAATATTCCGGAACAAAAGGCGACGTCCTCAAAAGAGTTTCTGTGTTCACTGTATCCTGATTTGACCTTTTGCTCCAACAGGTTGCACTGAAGTCATATTCACCTACACCCTGTATCAGTTTGACCCCGGGGTCATTTCTGTGTGTGTACCACCGTACAGTTACCACCGTACAGTTACCACCTCATCTGTGGCAGCAGCGCGTCCACTTTCTATACTGTATATTCAGCCATGCAAATGAAGCAGTTAAATATGTCAAGTGTTGAAAGTGAAGGTGTGTGGGGCGGAGGGGGGCGGAGGGGTCGATTAAGCCAATGAGCAGTTATGCAATGTTGCTGCAAGATTACTGGACTCACTCGGGAGCTGACATTGTTACGTAACGCTGAGTCCAGACAGTAATCCATAAAGCAACCTGGCTGGAGTGCAGCACACACGGCCAGGGGCTTTGACCTGACCTGTGCAGGTGTTACACCAAGTGACAAGAATCTTTTTACGTGTTTAAAATTTTTTTTACAACTAAGACTAATATCAGCCTGATTAGATGTGAGGTCGGACCAGTACCTTCAATTAGTTATATTTCTGTGTTACAATGACAATAAAGACTATAAAATTAGAAAATAAAAATAACAGAATTCCCTCTAAATAACAGTAAGTCATTGTTTTTCTTTTCACTTTTATCCAAATATATACAAATATATTAGGAAAAAAATGTATATTTAATCAAATACTAACATGTGGTGTTTGTGCTTTTTTTTCACTTTCAACATTCATGTTTCGGGCCGTATTGAACTTCCGAACGGGCCGGTTTTGGTCCACGGGCCGTATCTTTGACACCCCCAAGGTAGAGAATTAAAATTGCATGTCCCGTATCTTTGACACCCCCGAGGTAGAGAATTAAAATTGCATGCATATGTAGACAAGGTCCACCACTAAGCTAATGCCCCACACGCCCCCACTGTTCCCCTAGGACAGGGATGGTTGTCCTACAAACTAGCCCTGTCCCGTAGGATCTTTATACCGTTAGCATTAGCTTCTCCAGAGTTTATTTCCAGTAAATCTACCACAGAACAGCACCGCAGAAGACAGGGAATACAATACATACACTGTACACCCCGTACGCCTGTTTGAGGAACCTAACCCCAGCGTGAGGCTTGACAAATTCAGGCCCTCAGATTTCCCTTGGCAGCGAGCACCAGCTCAACCAAGCTGGATCGATTTCAATCAGCGGCTTACCAAAATGATGTGGCTGCCACCGGACTAGCTCGATGGGGCTAAAAATAACACCAGCTGACCCCGCGGCTCTGATGTGGTCACGTACCCTCTGGTGAGTCTAGTTTTATGTGTCCCCGATGAAACCCATCAAATTACAGATGCTAACGCAGCCGTACCCCTTATCAAAACTATTTCGGCACGCTGACACACTTTACAAAAGGCAGTAATTAGAGCAGAGGAAAATGGGAGGCATCTCAGGCATGCAGCGGAAAACAGAGACCCGGGTAAAAATGAAGAGGAGGAGGAGGAGGGAGGAGGTGGGGGTGGGACAGTGAACGCTCATCCGTAGGCAACAGGTCCTTTTCCTTCTTCTTCTTCTACTCTCCATTTATTGTTGTTGCACAGCCGTAGATCAAAGAATGGGCGGCGTGCTGAAACAGTTGCCAACGCAGCAGACGTGTTCACGCTGCCTGGAGAGGAAAGACATAATTACCATCATAAAAGGTTAATAACTCCACTTAAAAACAAAAGTTATTGACTATTGAGTTTTTTTTTTTACGTACTATTATTATTTGGGTATTTGGGTACTTGAGAACCACGCTGTATCTCAAATACATTTTTAAATACATCAGTATGTGTAGTAGTATGTCACTGGGCTACAGTGTAGACCAGTGGTCCACAACATTTTTGTACCAAGGACCGGTCGGCCGGTGTGAGCCGTTACTGCGGACCGGTAATACCATTGTGCCATCATGGAAAAATCCTTACATTTTCGGAAATAAATAACATCTTTTAGACTTTACACTGTTAGTATCAGTGAGAATGACCTTTGACCTGCTGTTTAACAGATTATCTTTTAATGAAAAAATGACTGGATTCTTTTTGAATGAAGTTAGTAAAACTGAAGTACATTTTACCACCAAGTGACCTACGGACCGGCACCGGTCCCCGGACCGGGGGTTGGGCACCCCTGAAGCAGTCACCTTTGCGTCACCTCATCAGACGCCACTATAATGTTTCAGTTTGTTGTAACCACTCCAGTGTTGTGCGGCAGCGCCTCGTTGAACGCCGACAGGAGGAACGAGGAGTAACTGCGATGATTATTTTCGTCCCTCCGTATCATGCCGTATCTTTTTTAAACGCCGGGGGGTCATACGATCGCTGACAACCGGCCAAACATTTGCTGCGTGAACGGCAGTAAACACCACAAACTAGACACCATCACCACGGTGCACCTGTCCACACTCGTACCTGCCGCTGCGATACGCAGTGTGACCGGGTGTCAGGTGACAAACGGACACTTATAACTCTTGTCGTACTGTATGTTGTATGAGCTGGAATTTACAAGTCACTCGAGATCATTTGTATAAGCCGTGATAGGAAACATATAAATACCGGCAGGATTCACACGGTAATTCTGCTGCAGCGTTGGCTTTTGTAGGAGCTCTGGAGTTCAGCAGTGCAGACTATTACACACAGTTCCTTCCAACAATGGAATGGGTCAAAGTGAACCCCGCTGCCTTGGAAAATGAAAGCCGTAACCAGAGGATGATCTCAAAGCGGAGGTGCGAGGTGTTCCTGCGGGGAATTATGTGTGGTTAGCGTGAGTGCAGAGGTGAATGCGTCTTCTTTGAAGTGTACTCCATTAAAGTGATGAACTCCTGGCTATTTATTTAAGATAAAAGCAAATCAACCCTGGAGATTTTTCACCCCCGCCCCTCCACACACACACACACACAAACTATCTGCATTAGCACAAACACCATGGATGTTGGGAAGATATATACGCAACGCGGCCGTCGTCACACTTTTCTACAGCGTGAAAACGTACACTGGTTACTCAGAGAGATGATATGTAAAGGATGTTTGACCGTGTAGTGGAAGGAAGATCCTAATCACAGGTGAGCTCAGAGGTTGGTATATGCAGCCTGGATGTGTGTGTGTATGTGTGTGTATGTGTGTGTTCTCATTTACATAACTCCACAGTCGGCATGGTTAAAAAGAGATATGCTTCTCTGGAACTCTCTGATGCCTCTGTTTGGTTAGTAGCAGCACACACACACACACACACACACACACACACACACACTGGGTTATCAGAGGCACCAGAAGATAAAAAGTGGAAAGTTTACTGACAGCCAAGGTCGCAGCAGATGTGTAAAAGTGGAAAGTTTACCTCCCAAAATGGGACAGCTGGTTCCACAAACATTTGGCCAATTTATTGTTGGTCTCTGGTTCCCTTGTGTGCTTTTTTATCTCTTCTTTGTCAACGCCCCCGGCACCACGTCTGCACATGTTATTGATATCGCTCTTCAATAGTGATTAAAATGTAATGCAACGCTAAGGTATTATGATAGTCATCATTACATGATGTGTTGCCCCGCTACTATTTTCAAGATGCTGTTGACGTTGAACTTATCAGCAAACAATTTGCGTGTGCCTGTTCTCGGCAAATGACACAATGTTTTTGAGTTGTACGCGGTTGTTTGCATGTTTATATTCCAGGGACTTCCAGTCAGTCCAAGTATAGATCGCACACAAAAGCAAATAACATAGCAACTCCGGTTGGCAAAGGCGAAGCTGTAGAGCTGAATCAGAAGCAGCTACACGTCAGTCCAAGTATAGATCGCACACAAAGGCAAATAACATCAACAAAGGCGAAGCTGTAGAGGTGAATCAGAAGCAGCTACGTCGATGGTCAATCGTTTTGATAAAAGATATTGGAGAAAAAAAATGTTGTGTGTTCAGGTCTAATTCAATGGAACATGGTGGCATGATTTGAAGCAATTTAGACTTTTTTTTTGTAAACATCTGCCTACTGTCTCTGCTTCTTTCATGTGACCGTTCACTTTAGCCTATGGGCTTTAAAACTGCACATTTAACCGTGACTGTTTTGCAGTACATTGTGTCCACACGATGCCACGAATTAATTTTCTCCTTTGATTGTCATTTTGTTGTCATGCTTTGATCTTCATAGCCGACGCCAGGCTACCACTAACTGGTGTTGTTTAGCTGCTTGTTTGTTTGTTTGTTGCGTGGACAGACTGTTGAGTTGTCACTGGATACTTACTGTACACAGGTTAGTAAGTCTTTGTTCTACTGACTGAGCATTATGTGACTTTTTTATAATATAATCTAAATCAAATGTAATTATTGTTAATCATGTGATCAGACAGCAAATATTTCTACGTAATATTCTCTTTCTTGAGACCATCAGTGATGTAAACATTGCATATACTGTACATGCATCTATACAGACTACCTATAATAACAATAATAATAAATAATAATAATAATCAGAAACATGCAGATTATGACAATATAGAAATAATCACAACAACCAATGAGAGAAAGTAGTTTTGTTTTTGTTTTTATGTGGTGGAAAACGAAATAAAACAAACGTTTTGTTTTTTTTCCATCACTCTATACCTTTAACAGTGTTGTGTGTGTGTATGTGTGTGAGTGACTGCAGAACTGCGGAGAAGGAGGGAGGAGAGATGACGATCAGAAATGCCGCCACGTGCGCTCATACGCCTGCTTTATTATAAAAACCTCCCCTCCATTGGTCCAGAGTCGAAACGCTGTATTTTTATACGCCCTCTGATTGGCCGGAGGCACCAACTCCATAGTGAACGCTTTGCAGAGCTTCCAGACATGAGATCCTTGAGCGTCTACTATGAGAAAGTAGTCCCCGCTAAAAAACCCTTGTTTCGTTTATTCTTTGCGATAGAAATGCTATTAGACAAACAATAATAACAGTTGGTTTGTAGATGCGATTAGTTTCACTGTGTGATTTAAATTAACAACGACGTGAAGTTTGAATAATAGAAAAGCGTCGGTTTGTATTGGTGGCGTAGGGATATCACAGCACCGCTGCGCGTCAAAATATTGGCTTGTGAAGACCGCGCCAAAGCTCAGACAGCGGCTACTCTTCAGGAAGATAAGATATCGTGCAGGTCTCCTTAACGCATTCTAACGTCTACACGGCTGCGTTACACTTCACCGTGTTTGGCTTTACGAGTCTGGGAGGACTGTTTGTTTTTGTTTTGTTTTTGTCGCAACCGCTTGAGCAGAAGACACAAATCTGACTTTTTGATGCTCGTTTTTTGGGAAACAGTTTACGACTCAACAGTCGTGACGCGGCGCTGACGGGCGCGGTGCGGCGGAGTTGTCGCACTGCTGCTGGACTCGGATATACCATTCGTTTGCAGCCAATATAACGAGCCGCGGAAGCCGGTGTTTAAACCTTCTTTTCTTCACACACACACACAACCGCTGCTCCTGGTCGAACTGTCTGCAGCTCAGTGGGAATCGTCTCCTCGTCCCCCCCTTTTTCCTCCCTCTGCTTGAATATGCTGCTGTCAAAGTTGGGCTCATTTTCCCACATTTGCAACCCTTCTAGTATGGACCACCTACAAGTGAAGATCCAGCTCCAGCAGGGTAGGTCAACGAGATCGCCATCATCTTTAAACTGGATTTTGTTTTGGTTTTGTTTTGTTTTTTCTCAGCCTAGTGTGAATGTGGAGTCAGTTTACCTTCTTTTCTTATATTTTTTTTTTTTTTTACTTTTTTTTTACTTGCAGTCAAAGTGGAGAAGGAAGCCTTTGAGAAGGTTTACCAAGTGGGATCCGTGCTGGGCAGCGGTGGATTTGGGACAGTATACGCCGGCAGTCGGATCTCCGATGGCGCACCGGTAGGTATAGCAGTAGCAGCTGGGGATGTGGGGCTTGTGTTTTGATCCGACATGTGGCGCCATCAGAGCGGTGCCTCCGCTGTAGCACCGGGGAGGGGGTTGGGGGGGTACAAACACACACGTATCTTTATTCCCCTTTGTGTCTGAAACAATTCTTGATCGTTTTGTCTCGTTTCTTCCAGGTCGCTGTGAAACATGTCGCGAAAGAGAGAGTGACCGAGTGGGGCACAATTGTAAGTAGCCATGTCCGATGTTGAGCGTGTATGTGTGCGGTTTGTTTTGGTCCCCCACCCCCGGCAGCTGCTGCTGCTGCTGCTGGGTGGTGGTGGTGGTGGTGGTGTGTTAGTAGCAAAGTGGAGAATGGCCGTGTTGTGATCTCTAAAGCGCTGTGTTTTTTGGTGGTTTCACAGAACGGGACTATGTTGCCTCTGGAAATCCTGCTGCTAAAGAAGGTCAGCTCGTCTTTTCGCGGAGTTATCAAATTGCTGGACTATTACGAACGCGCGGACGGCTGGCTCATCGTCATGGAGAGGCCGGAGCTCGTCAAGGACCTTTTCGACTTCATCACGGAAAAGGGCGCCCTGGACGAGGACACGGCCCGGGGTTTTTTCCGCCAGGTTTTGGAGGCGGTGAGACACTGCTACAGCTGCGGCGTAGTACACAGAGACATCAAGGATGAGAACCTGCTGGTGGATCTACGCACCGGGGAGCTCAAGCTTATTGACTTTGGCTCAGGGGCGATTCTCAAGGACACGGTCTACACCGACTTCGACGGTAAGCCGCTGCCATCGCCGCCTTAATTCAACACAACGATCGCTGTTTAAAGCCGTTCAGGATTTGCTGTATTTGCCCCCGTGTGTTGCGAGTGCACGTACCAGCGGAGGCAGGCGGCCGTTTGCCCTTGATGCTCCGCTGTGCTATACTCAGACATGGAGGCGTTCACGAGCCCGTGACGCAGTGGGCTGTTTTTGGTCGAGGGTTTTCCTCACCCGGGGGTCTCACGGTTTATTATCGTAACGCGTGTAAATTACAGCCAAAAACAAATTACAGCACGAGTATAAAAAAAAATAATGTGACGTCGCGTGTCTGTTAATCACTCTATGACTCACAGTCAGACACTGGATCTGGTGTTTTTTTGTTTTTTTAAAAAAGTACTTCAATTTTTTGACTCATCCTCGTCTTGTGAAGATGAACTGTACTTCCCGACTATTGTGATGTTTAGTCGGAGCGTGAGTCACTGTTAGTAGGTATTAGGTCAATGCCACGTAACATCTGTTTGTTGTGAAACCCGAGTCGGCTCTTCACGTGATGGGCTCACGTTGCCTTTTTTTTTTTTTTGTTTTGTTTGGTTTCCAAGGTCCTCCTACTTCAGAGGGAGGGAGGGGGGAGTTCACCCAGTTTGTTTTGTGGCTATGAAAGAGCTTTTCTACTGTGACTCAGCCCAGAGGGACACAGATGCCTCTTTTTTTATACCCCCCCCTACACACACACACACACACACACACACCGCCTGCCCTTTTTTTCCATTGACATACAGTATTAGTCACTTTATATTTAGTCAACACAACTGGATCTCCACTAATGATGAGCCCCCCCTCTGATTTTTTTTTTTTATCTTCAGGTACGAGAGTGTACAGCCCTCCGGAGTGGATCCGCTTCCACAGGTACCATGGTCGCTCGGCGACGGTGTGGTCGCTAGGCGTGCTGCTGTACGACATGGTGTGTGGAGACATCCCCTTTGAGCAGGATGAGGAGATCCTCAAAGGGCGACTGTACTTCAGGAGGAGGGTCTCTGCTGGTAAGTCTACTGCTGCTGCTGCTACTACATCAACAGAGCACTGATGCCCTCTAGCCACAGCAGCCGGTACAGCGCCCAGCAGTTCCACCTTCTAGTGTTTGTAAATCAGTTTACATCAGAGTGCAGCCCATCAATTATGGGCTGCAGCGGCTGCCAGACAGATTTATCATCCATGAAGAAGAAAAAAAAGGTTTTGGTAGTTTATTGTTTCCCCTGGTACAGTTTGTGTAGTTACCCCCAGCACAGTAACTTAATAAAGAGAATGTGTGCTGTGTTTTTATTGGCTGAGAACCTACAGTGGCCCCCAGAGATCCATACAGATTTGAGTCACAAACACCGTGTGCTGTGTGGCTACGTCGTCTAACCTGGTGTAGTGGCCTCTGCTCTCTCTCTCTCTCTCTCTCCTGCAGAGTGCCAGCAGCTGATCAAGTGGTGCCTGGCCCTGCGGCCCTCGGACCGGCCCACCCTGGAGCAGATTTGCGACCACCCTTGGATGAGGACGACGACGACGACAGAGACGACGCCCAAGTCCTCAGAAGAACCGGTCACGGGCGACATCCGCCTCAGGACCATCGACACGGACTCTTCTTCAAGCACAAGCTCGAGCAAGGAGAGCCTCTGAGGGTGGCACCCCCCGATGGACTGGGAAAGACAAGACTTTGTGGGGGAAAGAATGGGGTCGGGAATGATGAGTGTAGCCTGTAGCCGGACTGGTACTGGACCGGTCGGGCCAGAAAACTGTTCTTTAATGTTTCTCTTTTTGTAGGGAATTTCTAAGTTATTATTATTATTATTATTATTTGTTCTTCCTTATTGTATTTCTCCTAGCCTTTTCCCTTTAAGTTAATTATTTACCTGTTTCCTCATGGGGAAACATTTTTGCTGTTGGGATGGTCTTACCAGCAACCAACCCCCCCACCCCCAATACTCCCACCCCTCCCCGACCCCTCGACTTTATGTCAATTGTTTTATTACTAGGCTGGTTTATATGCAGCTGGCAAGGCCCTCCTGATCAGACGATGGCGGCTCTCATAGAGCTTGAAAATTTTTTTTTTTTTTATTTAAATGTTTTACTTTTGATTTTGGAGTGCCTTTTTTTGAGAAAGCTGCTTTTTAAAGAGGGGGCTTTCGTCAAACACCAGTTGTTTTCCTTTGGGTTTGCCTTGGGCCTGCTGGTGAAGTTGCCTGTGCTTTGATGGAAATAGGGGTTAAAGGCTGTTTCTGTTGACGGTTTTTTTTTCTTCTTCTTCTTCTTACCCCTCCTCTATCACTGTAAACCAAGCAGCCCCCTGAGAAGAGGCTAAAATAGCATTAGATAAGAGATGTGGGGGGAGATAAGGGGGGGGGCTGTTCCCTGACAATGAAATACTTGAAACACTCTCGACACAAACTCTGCGTCGCTCTCTTTAAACGCTGCTTACTCACTCTATAGCCTGAACAGGTGTTTGGAAACTGGATCCTGTCATTTCTGAATGTCTACAAAATGTCACCACACAAACACCCAGCCTCGCCCCACCCAACCACCCACCCACCTATTTCTCATCCTATGCCTGTTGTGGGGTGTGTGGCCCTCATGACTCGTCTCTTTTTTTTTTTTTTTTTCGCCTCCCGCCATCTCACTGCTTAAACACTACATGGCCCCCGGCCCCTGGCCTCCCTCAGGGTTTTGGGGTGTGAAATGCACAATCAATGCAATTTTCATGGACTTAATTTTGTTTTTGTTTTTTGTTTGTTTTTTTTATTAAAATCAAATATTGTACAGTGCATTTTTTTTTTCTTTTTGTGTGTGTACATTTTTTTTCTTCCCCACATCCTTTGCTTTAATTTATTTGTAAACAAATAGACATTCCACACTCTGTGGCTATTTATTTATTTATTTTTGTTTTGTTTATTTTATTTTATTTTTGGCTTAATCCCCCAGCATCCCCTTCACCTGCCATTTAAATTTTGCATATCCTACTTGGCCTTTGGTTTGCATTCCTTTAAGTTATTTTTTACATTTCAACATGTTGGGTTTTTTTTTTAGATGTGGAGGATGCACTGAAGAAGTTGTTGATGTTAAACAGAGTTTAAAAAAAAAACAGACAAACGGTTTACTTAAATTTGAAAAGAGCATTTGAATGTTATAGAAGTTCTTTAAAAAGTTAGGATGTGTTGAATGGAGAGAAATCCACCTGGTTTCTGTTTTGTCAATGACTTTGAGTTGTACGGAAAGTCAAACAACGGGCTCAGCAGCTATAGTTGTCACATAGCATCATGTCGGAGACGGTTCTGTTCAGCTGTGTGACTTGTGGCTGTGAAGTATGGATATTGCTATTTTTTGATACCGAAGTTTCAATTAAACTCCCATTTTTATGTACAGAAACACGTCTGGTGTGTGTGTGTGTCTCAACGGTGTGGCTCATCTGCTCCGGGGCGCCTCCCGGGGGGGCCGGGGGGGGGGTCTTAATAGACGACGCCCCCCCCCTGCAGCACGTGGTCCATTTGCACTGCCCGCAGTAATGATAACATTGTTACACGTGACACGGCTGTCAGTGGGCGACATGACAGGGAGCCATTAAGTGGATGACAACCTGCAGGAACAACAGGCCTGATAAGAGACAGATGTGTCTTGGGGGGGGGGTCTCCCTGATGACGCCGACATGACAGAGGAAAAGAACGAGGCGTCGTTGTTGTGTTATCACACACTCGAACACATGCAGACTATAAAATAGAATTACTTTTCCTTTTTATGCCCCCCCTCCCTGCCCACCCACCATACTGGAGGGAGGGGGCTCAGAGGAACAGAGGCTGATGACACGGGTCGTCTGTAAGAAATGTATATATTTATAATTATATAATTTTAATTATATAAATATATATATAATTATATACATATTTGTATAATATGATGTATATATGTGTGTTTATATGTATATATATGTGTATATGTGCACATACTGTATATGTATGTAACAGGAAGCAAATTTAAAAAAAATTAACGTATCTATAAAAAAAACTTCAAACCCACGTTAACGTATCTATAAAAAAAACTTCAAAAAAAACTTCATCACATGATATATGAATAAAACTGAGCCAAATAGAGTAAATACACATAATATATAAATATATATAATTAAAAGGAAAAATTAAACAATAGTGCTGCCTGGTGAAGCAGTGAAAGTGAGCAGAGCTTTTTTTTACCAATCGCATGTTTCAATAAACAGAAAACAAAATATCGGATAAAAAACCACAAAAATAAAACTCCTGTGAAACCAACAACACTGCAGTATTAGGAATAAAAAACAAACCCTGGTCTGGTCGTATACATTTACCAGTCTTCAAACAAATCCTTTTTTTTTCATGTACACATTAAGGGTCAGTTATGGCCTGTGAGCTCGTAGCCTCTGACGCAGGTTCAGGTTCATAATCTGGTCTTCTCCAAACGTTATTACTAAAATTCCTATTCCCCGGGACCAAAAGGAAGATAATAATAATAATAACACAGTCATCTAGATGGCTCATCCAGACGTCTGCACATTTTCAATTACACTCGAGTGGCTGCTTCCCATTCGGCAGGATTGGAGACATATGGCCACTTGAAGACTTCATAAGACAGCTGGTCCCGAAATCTTCCCAGGAATCTAATTCACAATGAAGGGGATTGATTTGTAATCTCGGGGAGAGCAGTCGCCGGCGTCACTGAAAAGAACCCGCTGCTGGATGTTCATTTTTGTCAGGTTTAAGTGTTTAAACAGCAAATCCACTTATTACACGACCCACATTCTCTGGATATTTGGATGTGTGGATATTGTTTCATAAGCAGGCTTTTTCAAAAAAAAAAAAAAAGATTTTCTGTGGTTACCACCCACCCCTGACCCCCCACACTCCCAGCCCCCAGGTTAACATTTATTGCTACTGAACAAAACTCCTATGAACATTTAAAAACCGTAATTGGGGGTCCCACTCCGCATTTTGGGAACCACAGGTTTAACCTTAAGCTAATAGCTAACCCAAGGCAATCAAGATGAGATTAACGTAATTTGCTCAAAATCATCTTACAAATGCTCTGCAACATGAAAATGCTGTGTTTATTCAAACTGTGGTTAAAGCTAAGGGTCAGGTTGTATGAGTCAGTGCTGTGTCCCAACAAGAGTAGCTACACAATATAAGTATGTGTGTGTGTGTGTGAGTGTGTGTGTGTGTGAGTATGCTGGTTGCCTGGAAACTGGTCCTGGTCGCAAGAAATCACCATAAAACGGCAAGTTGACATTTTACACTTTGATTTTTGTACTGATTAACCAAACAATGGATGTTGTGTTAAAGTGTATCTGATTTTATAACGTTGTGTCAGAGCCACACACTGTCTGTTCTCCGCTGTTATCAGCTCAATGCTTGGGCTAAAACAACCGGCCTCTCGCTGCGGTCATATATCTGTGGCTGTGGCATTAATCTTCTTATCTAATCCACGGCCAAAAAAAAAAAAAACGAGTGATTAGCGACAGTGTGTGTCTCCACACGGACAAACAATTCCTGTAATGTTGTAAATTGTCTCATGAAACCTGATGACACAACCTTTGGTGAGGACTGATAAAGCTGAGGATGCCTCTTTTTTAATCAACCCCAAACTTAAACATTCCTAACAACATCCCTGAGGCTCAGTGTAATAAAGCACGGAGCTGTAAACGCCTGCTGCTGCTGCTGCTGCTGCTGCTGCTGCTGCTGCTGCTGCTGGATTCAATATGTTGACATCTGTGTTGCTGTCTTGTGTCCATTCTTGCTAATCCTGCATTGTCTTTGTGTCCCCGGGCTTTAGACATGTAAATGACCAGGAACCTGTCTTCATCAGTGTCCCTTCTGCTCACACTTCAGACAACTCTCACTGAGGAATCCTCATTAAAGGCAGCACAGCATATGTCACAGCCACAGGTCCTTAAGGTAGGAGTCTGAGTCTAAGTCTGAGTCGGAGTCTGAGTCCGAGTCCGAGTCCGAGTCCGAGTCCGAGTCCGAGTCCGAGTCCGAGTCCGAGTCTGAGTTTGAGTCCGAGTTTGAGTTTGAGTTTGAGTTTGAGTCCGAGACTGAGTTTGAGTCCGAGTCCGAGTCTGAGTCTGAGTTTGAGTCCGAGTTTGAGTTTGAGTTTGAGTCCGAGACTGAGTTTGAGTCCGAGTCCGAGTCCGAGTCCGAGGCCGAGGCTGAGGCTGAGGCTGAGTCTGAGTTTGAGTTTGAGTCCAACTCTGTGTCTGAATCTGAGGCAGAAGTAGAGACACATTTTCAGAAAGAAAATAAGAAAAAATCCGGGTCGTGGACTGCTTTTTGTGCACGGAGCGGTACCCACCCACCTACTTGTGACCCCATATATATGTATAAATAGATACATATATAATATATATGTATATATATATATTATATATATATATATGCATACATACATATGTGTATATTATGTATTTACATATATACACACCTCATTTTGACTCAAATATATCTATAAATATAGACACATATATAAAAATGTATAGAAAAATATATAAAGAAAATATATGTATGTTAACATGTATACATATATATGTATATATACCTTAATTGATGTCTGTATGTTCTGTAAATACAGCCAATAAATCATTATAGTTGTAGAAGTAGCACTGACTTTTTTTTTTACTATTTTATTTTTTTATAAATCTATGTTTAAGAGTCAATATTTATTCCTACACTCACACTCAACTGTAGGTTCATATACTGTAGCAGAGTTCTGTCATTTATAACCCCTGAGTGCTGAATCTTTGGTAAACCCTGTTGACTGGCTGATGATGACCAATCACAGCGCAGGGGCTGAAATTCAAAAGTGACACACCTGAGGCTGATGTTCTTCACTGCTCGTTAGACAAAAGAAAAAAAGGAACCTGTTCTGAGGAGACTGTAGTTGATGGAGAGTCAAATTCACAGGTGAGACGTTGTTGTCAACGGTTGTCAGCGTCACAGTTAAACCACTGTTGGTAATGAAGTCATTTTTACTGCTCTGTGTTGTCTGTTTTTAGTTACTTCCTGTGTTTGAAGTGTTTTAACACCTGTCCTTAAATGTATTTCCCCTTGTTGTCCACCAGGTTGACGTTGATGTCTTGTCATATGGCTTCTACTCTGCGGTCCCAGAACACTTGTTCTGACCCAGTGAGGCTGTCAGCTCTCGTGGTGTCATCCTCGGAGGTGAAAACCCGACAGACACGGTGGAAGACGACAGACTCTGGGCCACCGGGGGCACAGATGGTCGGGTGGGTGGCTCCCACGGCACAGGCTGCAGAGCTGGTAAGCGTCCAGGCGTTGGATATACTCGGGGAAAAATTTAAATATTCGTATGCACAAGTTTTTACCCTGTAATGTGTGTTAAGTTTCACATCAGTGAGGGGAGAAAAGGGCCCTGAACGCTGCTGAAAATATATATATATTGTATATATATATATGTGTGTGTATATATATATTTTTGTTTTCGATATATATATATATATATATATTGCATATATATATATATATATTGCAAATGCATTTACTCCCAGCATCCTTATTTATACGTTTGTCATTCGTGGGACACAACATTCCATAATTTTCTCTGTCTCTTCACACGTCCTGCGCCACCCTCACTTACTTTTCTGCCACTCTTGGCTTCCCCCCCCCCCAATATCATAACAGTATTATACAGTAGCTAGCTACGTCATCCTGTTCATGTTCAGTTGATGACTATGACTGTTAGCCCTACTCTGTACTGTGTACTGTACAGTACATTATGTTTTTTTTTTCTCTCCTGAATTGCCTTCATGAACACGTGTGTGTTTGTCTTTGTTATCTGCAGATGCCTGACCGCCTACTCTGGAGGCCTCCTGTTTTTTGTTACCCGGAGCAGAGCCTCCGCAGGGACTTTCCACTGGTCTGACTTAAGGTTCATTAGAACCGGTGCCACTGCCAGTGAAGGGAACCTGGCCGCCCAGCTGGTAAGAACGCAGCACTATTACCGCACGCCATGAAAGGACTCATTGTTCTGGGTCGACGGGACGTGGTGTAAACACGGGGGTACAGTGGGTCGTATGAAAAGTACATGCAGGGGCATCACACACACATGCAGAGAACACTGTGAGGCAACGTGGCCTGACTCACTGTTGTCATGATCCTTATCAGCAGCAGCAGTAACAGTTCCAGATTAATATTAGTTCAGAACAATTTGTTATGTCTTACAGTGAGGTTGTGAGTAATGACATTATGAAGTGAAGAAGAGGGAGGGAGGGAGGGGGGGAGGGTTTGGGGGTCTTTAATCGTTGGCCTTTTTATGAGCTCGTAACACGATCAAAGGAACCACTGACCTGCTGTTCTTTTTACCCTGCGGCAGATTTTTGTGTTTCA